GAAGAGGACTCAGTTTCTGATACTCAGTCTGCGGCTACAGCCCTCACTCTTCACACCTGTAAAATCAGCAGGCCGGGTTCCGTGATCTCTGCTGTCATCTCCTGCTGAGGACACAATGCACCCTCAGAGACTGCCACCCAGCACCTCAAGTTTACCATCTTCAGCGCATCTCCTTGAGAGTTCAAACCCACCTGCAGATAAAGGGGAAAAAGTCCTACCCAATGCTGGGGTTGGACGTGTTTGCCCACATATATTCAGCACGGGCGCAAGGCAACACAGCGGGGAAACGTACCTGAAGTCGGCATGGGAAAGACAATCCCAGGCTATTCATTTCAATTACTTCATCCGAGACTCGTCTCCTGCCCCTACACCTACCATTCTATTAACCAAATACACCCAGACCTAGGAGGCATTGCAGGTTCGCCTCCAGACCACCGCAATAAAGCAGGTCTTAACCGTTCTGCTGGTGGAGGGTCTTGCCTTCAGCTTGTAAAAGTGCCACACCACTGAAGAACAATAACGTAAAGCACCATAAAGCGAGGTATACCCACATACAGTTCTCAGCAGCTGCCTTCGGTCGACGCACTTGATACCTCCGCTGCCCAGTGAACTTGTGGATCTACTGAAGCTTCATCCAGCAGTAAGTTCTGCGATTCTGTTTATAACACACAACCAGCGACTAAAAAGATAAGTGGAAGCCCGCTATCTCCACCACCTATTTCTGAGCCGTGGCCGGACACAAGCGGCCACAAGAACGCAGGGCAGGGTCAAGGAGGCAGACACAAAGCCAGTGGTCACGTCAGCAGCTGAGCACCCCGTGTGGGCTCCTGACCACTTCCAAAGCCAACGTCAGTCATTTCATTCAAAGGTCAGACACAGTCCTCCTTCCCACGTCCACTTGGTGCGAAAAAATAAAAGCTGACTGCAAAGTCTCTACTCAAATAAGGAACTGGGAAACCCTGGTTTCAAAAGGAAAAAAATGGATTCAGGACGGTCCAGGTGTCTGTGGCAGGTGTTTAAAAAACAGCATGAGTGTGGTACCGAAGACATTCATAAAGGAACTTCTACCACCAAGTCATTAAAGTCAAGAACCAACCACAGGAAGACTCCCAAAGCTAAAAAGTCTTACTTGTTGCTGGCTTAACAGTGGCTGGCCTGGTGACCCAGGCTGCACCAGAGGGGACGGTCCCCGTGCTGAGGGTGGCCACCGAGGGCGTCTCTGGAGGCAGAGCTCTCTCGCTTATTTTGCACGAGCACCCAGCATGTAAACCGAATTCCTAAAAATCATTATCAAAATGAATGCTTCTCAGTCTGCTCCAGTGACCCTAATCTAAAATGTTACCTATTTTTATACTCAGAAACTCTGTTTTGTGCTGGTCTTTAGGCCTATTATTTAAACATCACCCTTGTAGCCGCTCTTTGCTCTGAAGGCCCTTCTTTGACCAAAACCACAATAAAATGCAAACGCCAACAACTGACCCTCAAATCCTCCTCCAATTAAAACTTTAAGATTTGTTTTAAAAAGGAAATGTTTTTAATGGACATTAGAATTTTTGCTAAATTCTTTTTCTCTAAATCAACGTCTTGACGTTTGACCATCGAGCAAGTATTATTTTGGTCATTTAACGAAAACAATAATAGTTTGCATCCCATTTTTGAAACAGATATAAGTGGGTGAACACAGCACAGAAATCGACTGCAAAAACAGATCAACCAAGCTATTTGTCTGCATTGGAGAGGGGGGTTACAGTGGTTTCTAATGTTCTTTGTCTTGTTTGTAGTTTCCTGTGCTTCCTGTAGTGAGCACGCATTGCTTTTGGAAAAGGAAAACGGAATAAGAGAAACTTCATTCAGGGAACAATCGAATTAGGAATGGTTTCTGCAGCACGGAGACCTGGTGTTCACTCTGCACCGACTTCCTCTGAGGGTCCATTCTCCTCTGGGGACAGCTCAGGTAAGCACCTCAGGTAAGAGGAGTCCCCACAACGATGTCCTGGGGCCCAGGCCTGCAAGGGACTAGTGTCACCAAAAGCCTCAATCCCAGCTGACACCTCTTGTGCCATCCCAAGGAATCTGGAAAATGTAAGCATTAAAATCAAAAATTATTGTAACTGAGATTCCGTTTACTCTGAGATTTGCAGTGGGTTCTTGCAATACCTTCTCTCAAGTTTCAGTATGTTTTCTCTGCCAAATCTCACTGTTGATTTTTGCAAGGAAAATGTTTAAATTGGGATTTTAGAGTAGGGATGAACGAAATTCAGATTCTTTCAAAGCCTCTTTTGCCAGGGCTAACAATTCACTCTTATTTTAACACCCATAATAGAAATATGCAGGGTACATTGTTACCAAATGTACAAGCTAACATCTGCTCCGAAGCATGCCTAGTGTCCATACTTCTGTTTGGCTGGGGTTTGAGAACACACCTGTGAGAGGCGCCCACACCAGAGTTCAGACCCTGGCTCTACCCTTGAACTCGGGAAAGAAACAGGTAAGCCCGAATCTCAGCTTTGTACAGGGAAAAGGAAGATTTTCCTGTAAATCCCCACCTCACAAAGGTTCGGGGGAATGTCATCACAGGAATTCCCAAGGCAGTGGGTGGCACTTTGTAAACTCACAAAAAAACTACCAACGTTAAATGTTCCCTCCGGCGGCCAGTCCTGGAGCCTGAGCGATCCCCAGCACCCAGCAAAGGGACCAAGTTTCCAGAGCCCGGAAGACAAGGGGTAACACCCCACAACACGGACTCATTTTCCTCTCCACCTTCACTGGCCAAGCAGCTGCCAGGAACAAAGGCTGCATCCCCGATTCCTGGCAAACGAATGCGGCACTGCCTCACGAACTGAGTGCCGCTCTGCAAGTGACTGTGGGGAGAAGCTTCAAGAACAAGTGGAGGAGCGGCTCTCCTTCCATGAGCCTGGAGAGATTCCACCAAACAGTCGGGAGGTGGCAATGGCAGCCCAGCTCAGGCAGAGGAAGTGGCTGCAGAGACTGACTGATCACTCAGAAGCTGGAGAAACAGGAGAGAAAACACTTGAAGGAGAAGACACAGCTAGAGGCTCCCGCCCTTGTATCTTCAGAAAACAGCAGTCATACGCCTGAGGAGTGTGGGAAGCCACGTGAAAGACCCGAAAACAAGAAAAGCCCAAGCCCCAGGGGGCTCCTCAGGAGAAGGGAATGCAAGACCCACTATGTCCATCTCATCCCAAGAGAAAGAACCTAGTTTCCAAGGAGGAGCTGGTTAGTAGTGATCTTGAGGAGACAACCGGCAGTGAAAGTCTTCCCAAGAGGAAGAACTCTTCCCCCAAAGAGGAACCAGTCAGTGACCCTGAAGAGGCCGGAAACAGCAGTGTCCCCAAGAAAAAGAGGAAATTCTCTTTGAAGGAGCAGTCGGTCAGCAGTGGACCCAAAGCGGCCGCTGGCAGCAGGGGCAGCAGCTCTGAGAAACAGAAGGAGCTCCGGAAGCTCTCCCAGGAAGACAGGAACCGGCAGTCCCCTGCTGGGCTGGAACCACCCAGGGACCCGTCCCCTGCATCCCCATGAAAGCAAACTCACGAGAAAAAAAATACGCATTCCCTCCAGGCAGCACCATGTCTGGTATCTGCACGGCAACTCATCTTCTCACGGTGCCTCCATGTCTTTCACCGCACGGGATCCTCGGGCGGCTCTGACGGCCCCAGCAGCCATCATTACGGCCCTATTTTTCTATTATCTTTTTTTGTCAATCGGCGAGGAAACTGAGGCTCCAGGTCACAGAGCTCAGGAGGCAGATCCAGGCCTGTTCTGCTCTGTGGCACAGATTCTGAACCCAACCTCAAAAACATCCCTGTGCCGTGCCTGCAGGTAACGATCACATTTCTTTTAAAACACTCCGCTTGTCATACTTGAATCAAATCAAGCTAGTTATTTCCACATCACTCCAAACTATTCAGGTTCTGCTCGGTAAAAATAGCATCTCGGGTTATTCAGAGCCCCACTGTCTGTCTCCCGCGCTGGGCGAGGAGCTGGACCTCCCCCTGCACATTTAAACCCCAGAACCACCCTATGAGGTAGGAACTACCACTGTCCCCCAAACTGAGGCACGACCAAGCCCAGGACTGAGAGGCAGGCAGACTGTCCCCAAACCCCAGTCCTGGGAGTCCTGCACTACCGCATTTGTACAAGTGACCGCTCATTCTGCAAAGAGCTTCCACACGCAATGCGAGACGGGGAGGCCAGGCTACCCGCGTCCTCTTGCCCATCTGAGGACACGGAGGCTCGGAGGCTCGGAGGTTCGCAGATGTCAAGCAAGGGGTGTGTCTCAGGCTCCCGGGCAAGGGCACCAGGCAGCGCTCCCGCGCTCCCTCGCTCCAAATCGCATTCCCTGCCGAAAGTCAGATCCCTTTGCATGTGTTTTCAGAGTGAGATACATGGTAGGCGACCTTCTGTCATTGCTGAAAGTCAACCACCACTTAATGGCCTCACTGTCAACACGGAGGGTCAACAGTGTGACCCGGGCTCTGTCTCTCCCGCGCCCGGCGGTGGGCGTCACTGTTGCCAAGTCGGAAGTGTGACACGAAATTGTTTTCAGAGCAGCCCTTTGGGGAGGTGCCGGCACCACCTTCCTCATCCCACACCCGGATCCGTGACCGGACTAAAGCGAGGCGGCCGTCCCCGGTCCTCCGGGTGGCTCGGCATCGACCCAAACCGCGGCACGCCCCGGACCGCCGAGGGGGCGGGTCGGACGCCGGCTGTTTTCGAAAACCGCAGCTCGCCTGAGTCTCACACGGTCCTCGGGGAGAGACCCGCCGGGCTAGGCGTGGGCTGGCCGTGCGACAACCGACTCCTCTCCCTCCCAACCCGGAGCGCCAAGGGTCCTGCCTCAGTTTCCTCGCCTCGGGAGGGTGCACTGAACCGGAGCAGTTAATAGCGCCGCAGCCCAGACCTACACTGTGTCCAGCGGCGGAGCGCGCACTCCCAGCCTGGACCTCCACCCCGCCGCGCCACACTGACAGCGCTCCTACCTGCGCGCTGGTCCCCGCCGCCACCGGCCGGAGCGCCCGGGGGACCCCCGCCCGGCATGCGCCTCGCCGGCTCCTCCAGCTGTGCGGAGGTGCGCGGCTCCAGGCGCCCGAGGCCCGCGCTGGGGGGAGCGGTCGCGGAGCGGGACGGGAAGTGGGGAGGGGGCTGGGGGACAGGGCGGGCTCCTTCCGGCTCCCCAGCTGGGCGGGCGGCTTCCTCTCCAGCCTCGGCCCCTCGCGCACTCACACACACACACACACACACACACACACGGAGGCGCGCGCGCGCACACGCACATACAAGCGCGCGCACCCACTCGCGCGCGCGGCAGGGGCGGGGCCGGCGGGCCCACAGCCTTCCCCGGCCCTCTGAAAGTTTGCTTTTTCACTCTGGCCCATCTCTGCACAATACAAGAGGGGAGGCGTGGTGGGAACCGGCGTTTAGGGAAGGAGACTCAGAGGCCTTCCGGGTGGGTCTGCCAGGGCGCCACCCAGATGTGTGGTGAGGGAAGTAACCGAAGGGTGGATGGAAGAGACGGAGGGGAGGAGAGGCACTCGTTTAGACGGATGGGAGAAATTAGAGAGAAGGCAGCCAGCACTGGGAAAGAGATGGGTGGGTGCATTTCCAAAGCGAAATAGAAACCCAACTTTCTGCACCTTCTGGCAACGCCGGCGAGTCCCAGAGCCCCCTCCCGACGTTGAGCGGCCGGCAGTCCTGGGATGCAGGCTGTGGTCCGTGCCCAGCCCCTAGGCTGCTGACTCAGCTTCACCCCTCCTCTTTGGTGCGTGCAAGGAGGCTACTGGAGCAACCGCACGTTGCGCCTGAGAAACAGGCGCATGTAAAACTAGCAACATACAGTAGAGTGTGCCATGAGCCAGAGGCCTGGCACACAACCAGCACAAGTTCCAGCGGGGTTAGAGGGACCGTGGGAATGGAGGAGTGGGAAGAATCTCCCTGGAACTGGAGGAGGCCCAGGGTCCTTCAAAAGGTGAGCACCTCACGAGTGAAAACCACAGGTGTGCGTAGAGGTCCGTATGAGCATGGGTGTGAGTGACGTGGGAGGAACAGGAGGACCGACCAGGCTGCATTCAGTGGTGTTGTCCGCCAAGCCGAGGTCTGGATTCGGTGCCGTGGGTGAGAAAGCGCTCCTAACGGCGTTGGGTTGGTTTACTGGAACACGGAGCAGAGCTGACGGACACCAGGCGGAGTGGGAACGCCAGACGGACGCGGTGTGCTGCGCAGGAAGCGTCGGAGGCGTGGCGGGGGCCGGAATGTTGGGGTGGGTTTACCATGTCAGGCCTTTGTGCCCACTCCAGGGGCACCCACAGCACACGCCAATCATCGCGACCCTGAGAAATAACTCTGCAGCCCTGCGTCCTTCGCTCCTTCTCACTCTCCCCTGTCGGTCGGCAATTACAGTGGGAACCGTGGCCACTGAACTGGGTCCTTAAATGCACTGGGGATCCTGGGCGCCCAGGGTGCCAGCAGCCAAACGGCAGGGATGAATGGCCGAATGCAAGGTGGGCTGGTTTCCGTAATGGACTGTCATGGACGGCAGAGTCAGGCAGCAGTCAGAATGGTGAGTGTGCAGACCTATGCCGATGGCACACGGGTGTTCCTGGAAGTCAAGTAGATGGAGAGTCTACTAGATTCGCCCTCGATCTGTGTAGGCAGAAACGTTTTAGGACGCGTGAACTAAAGCCCAACTTGAATTACCAACACAGAGAGACCCCGCTCTGTAATCAATATCCAGCCTTAAGTCAGTTTACAGACCAAGAATTCTTTGAATGAAGAAGTTGGTCCACTCGAGGAAGGACACTGCCCAAAATTTACACCGTTAACCTTTCTTCCGGAGGGGCATGTGGCCTTTCGCCAGGGTGACTGCACATTGGAGAAAAGGAAATAGTCAGACTTTCGGGAATTACTGGACACGGGCCCTGAAGCAACGCTGATTCCAGGAGACTCGAAACATCACTGTGGTCCCCCAGCCAGAGCAGGGGCTTATGGAGGTCAGGTGATTGATGGAGTTTTAACTCAGATCCATTTTGCTGTGGGCCCCTGCACGCATCCTGTGGGTATTTCCCAGTTCCAGAAGGCAGAGTTGGACAGACACACTCAGCCACTGGTGGGATCCCCACCACGGTCCCCCGACCTGTGGAATGAGAGCTATCATGGCGGGGAAGACAAGTGGAGGCCACTACACCTGTCACCACCTGGGAAAAGCATTAAGAGAAAGCATCACTGTGATGCAAGGGGGACTGAAGAGAGAGGTCAGTGCCGCCCTCGAGGACTTGAAGGATGCGGGGTGGTGATTCCCCAGCACATCCGCCTCCGCTTGCCGGTGTGGCCCGTGCAGAAAACAGATGGATCTTGGAAGATGACAGTGGATTATCAGAAACTTGACCACGTAGCCATTCCAACTGCAGCTGCAACAGCAGCTGTACTGCCATTGTCCGAGCAAATCAGCACATCCCCTAGTACCTGATATGCAGCTACTGGTCTGGCAAACGGTTTCTCCCCATCCCTGTTAGTAAACGCCACCAGAAGCAGCTTTCCCTCCCCTGGCAAGACCAGTGATACACCTTCACTGACCGACATCAGGGGTATATCCACTCTCCAGCCCTGCGTCATAATCTAGTCCAGCAAGACCTTATTGCCTTCCCTGCCACAAGACTTCACAGTTGACATTATGCTGTTTGGGCCTAGTCAACAGGAAGTGGTAATTGCTCCAGGCTGCCTGATGAGCCATTTGCATGCCAGAAGGTGTGAGATAAATCTGACAAAAATCTGGGGGCCTTCCAGGTCAGCAGATCTTCTAGACAGTGAGTGGGGTAAGGGAGCCTTTCTAAGGTCAAGGTTAAGTCCTTGTATTTGGCCTTTCCTACAACCAAAAGAGGAGGTGCAACACCTAATGGTCCTCTTTGGGGTTTTGTGGTTACTCAAGCCCATTACCAAATGACCTGCTGGTTCTGAGTGGGGCCCAGAACCGGAGCAGGCTGTGCAGCAAGCCCAGGCTGCCATTCACGCTGCCCAGCTCCTTGGGCCGTGTGGCCCAGCAGACCAGGGGTGCCTGAAGTGTCGGCGGCGGAGGAGATGCTGAGAGAAGCTTCGTCAGGCCCCTACAGTGAATCACATCACAGGCCCTTAAGATTTGGGAGCACAGCCTCTGTGGATGACCACTCTCATGTCGAGAAACAGCTTTCACTCACTGCTGGGACTTGGTAAAGACGGAGCTTTTCACCATGAGCTGCCACGTTACCGCGCAACCTGAGCTGCCCGTCACGAACTGGGTGATGTGTGACCCATGAGCCATAAGGGCAGACACGTGTTTTGTTCTCACTGGAACCGATACAGTTGAATACGGATTTCCCTTCCCTGTACCGTCCGTGGGCTTTGAGAATGCCTTGTCCACACAGCATTGCCTCTGATCAAGGAGCTCACTTCACACTGAATGATGTGTGGCAACAGACCCACACGCACGAAATTCACTGGTCTTACCATGTTCCCTATTCTCCTGCAGCAACTGGCCCGACAGAACAATGGAATGGACTGTTGAGGACTCCACTGCAGTGCCAGCTAGGTGGCCACACCTTGCAGGCCCGGGACAAGGCTCTCCAGGAGGCCCCCAGTGTAGTCTCTGAAACCAGTGTCCCATATGTGCTGCTGCTTCCCCCATAGCCAGGACCCAAAGGTCCAGGAACCAAGGCACAGAAATGGGAGTGGACCACTCACCACTAGCCCTTGTGATCCACTAACAAAAGTTTTCCTTCCTGTTCCCACGAGTTGTGTCCCACTGACCTACAGGTGTTAGTTCCAAAGGGAGATACCCTTCCACCAAGCGACACAACAAGGATTCCGTTTCACCGGAAGTTCGGGCAGCTGCCTGCCCCGTCCAGGCTCACCCCCAGAAGCTTCTCTGCACCCTGCAGAGGAAGCAGACACCCTGCAGCATCAACCTCCCATAGAGTTCTACAGCAGCTCCCCTCATGGCCCTACTCCAGCGGGGGACACGCACAGCTCCCAGGGTTTCTGCAAACCGGCTGACTCCCCCAGGCCCTCCTGGTGGAAGACCTTTCTCGGGTTCTTCAACCCCCCTTCCTAGACGTTTGCTTCTCCAGCATTGCCCACAGTTGTGTAAGGTCTAATTTCTAGAGTGTATTTCTAATTCCACAACACTCTCAGTGGTTCTGCTTCTCCAACTGAACCCTCACTTATAAACCTAGTGATTCCAAATCTCTGCTATCAATACTGCAGAAGTCTTCCTTTAATTTTATGACACGTTTCTCATTCCAACACAATGCTGCATTAATTAGGACTCAGTTGCATCTAAGCAAAACCAATATACTTCAAGTTAAGTAAGAAGAATTTTGGCGAGGATACAGGAGGAATTTCACAGAGTCAAAAGACATAATGAAACTGGTCCTCTGGAAAGACAAGAGCCAACTTCTGAAAAGCCAGCAGGACCTTGGCGATTTCTCTCCTCCCGGCTTCTTTCTGCACATTTGCTCCCACTGCTCCAGACTCCACACGTGCCTGAGCCAGTCACCTGGATGGCCTGACCCTGGTGGAGCCGACTCTAATCCTGATTGGCCCAGAGTCAATTCTAATGCTCTGGGAGGGCAATCTTGATTGGCCCAGAGTGAATCAAGAGCCCTCCTCACGCCATCAAGGAAATGAGGCTGTGTAGGCACTTAGGAGAAATACGGACCCTGGAAACCACCGCTGAACGTGAGGGTGAGGGGCAGGCAGTGGACCACTGCACGCTGGACAGCCAACCCCAAATACGTTTACTTTAAATGGCCGGGTGCCAGGTGTCCTGCTGCTTATGGCCCCCAAAATGACACCTTTAGCTCTCCTCTGCTTTTAATGTCATTCCTATCCTGGCCGATACCCAGCAGTCCTTGCCATGGACTTCAGGTCTGCGTATTGAGATGTGCGAAGGGTGTCTACAGGACCAGGAACAGAGCAAGTGATGAGGAATAATCTTTCTATCAATATTTTTATTGAATTCATCAGGGGTACATTGGTTAATAAGATTATATATTAATTCTGTATTAATAAAATAATACATCATCTGTATATTATTTTGTGTGTTTACCACCCAAAACCATGCCTCTTTCCATCACCACTTACCTCCCTTTACCCTCTTCTACCTGCCCACACCCCCATTTCCTCTGGTAACGACCCCACTTTGTCTGTGAGGTGTTTTGTTTTGTTTTGGGCTTGTTGTTTTGTCGGGGGGGGGGGCTTAATCCCCTTACATTTTTCACCCAGCCTCCCTACCCCCTCCCCTCTGACAACTGTGAACCTTTCCTATTTTGTTTGTTAGTTTATTTTGTTAAT